GGAGGGGTATATGGGAGGTGTGGAGGGTATGTGGGAGGTGTGGAGGGGTATATGGGAGAATTTGAAGAGAGGAAAGGGAAGGGAGAAACGTTGTAATTCTGTTAATCTCAAAAATAAAAAAAAAAAATAAAGGTCCTACCTCCAAATGAAGTCATTTTCTAAGGTGCTGAAGGTTAGAACTTCAGCACACAGGGGCTGCAGTTTAGCCTCTATTCTGTACATGAAATAGGATTAGGTTAGCTTGTCTGGACCTGGTCCAGTAATAGCCATGCCTCAATGTTGCTTCTGCAGTGCGCTGTGCTCTACACGACCATTGGCGGCCAGCGAAGACTCCGGATTCACAACCTTGCCTTAAACTGCAGCACCCAGCTAGCAGACCTGTACAAGAGCTGCGAAACAGATGTCCTTATCAACTTCTTTGCCAAGTCAGGTAACATCTCGCTAACATTGTAGCTTAGTGATTCGGTACCAGGCAGAAGCTGGAAACCACTACGGTGGTACGAGAACCAGTAAAGTCAGCCGGGGGGAGGGGGAGTGAAGGGGTGGCGGTGCACACCTTTATTCCCAGCACTCGGGAGGCAGAGGCAGGTGGATCTCTGCGAGTTCAAGGCCAGCCTGGTCTACAAGAGCTAGTTCCAGGACAGGTCCCAAAGCTACAGAGAAACCTTGTATAATAAAAATAAAATAAACCAAAAGAACCAGCTAAGTCAAGGGTTGAAGAATGGTCAGCGCCCACCAGCTGCAGTGGTGAGACTAGCCTCTCCAGGGCCAGGCCACGCAGATCTGCCTTGAGTTTCCTTGCTAGTAGAGTGTAAGGTGAAATTTAGGAGTGTGTGGATGTGCCCTCTAGCACCAGTGATTTGCACCAATGTTGGTCATCTGTGCCCTGATCACAGCGAAGCAGGGTAGGTGCTTGCTTCAGCTTCCCTTCTGAAAGTCTGTACTTAAGGAATAGAGGAGAGCATTTCAGCCAGCAGAAGTCAGAGCCTGGACAAACAACAGGCTGGCCTGTCTTTTCTGTGTATAGAACTCTATTTATAGTAGTCTCAGGATAAATCTGGGTCGATGTAACCCTTTGCTATAATTAGACCATTGTCCTCTGTTGCCTGGATCATCCTGTGTACTCAAAAGTAGGCTGTTAGCAAGAATACCATCCTTGTTTGGTTGTCTCAAGATAACAGCAACTTGTTCTGTGTTATTATGAAGAGATCAGTTCCTAAAGCTTTTGTGTCCTTCCTATTTGTGGTTTTGTGCTCCTAGCTTTTAAAGCAGTTTTGAACCAGCCTCTGAAGAGCATCCGGGAAATTCTAGTTAATCAGACTGCCCATATGTTGGCGTGTTACCGGAAGCACTGTGCCAGTCCGTCTGCAGCAAGCCAGGTGAGTTCCCTGCTGGGCTGAGCAGCCAGCATGTGCAGAGCGAGTGTGTGCAGCTTTTGCAACTCTCATGTGCAGAGCGAGTTTGTGCAGGTGCTGCACCTCTTATGTGCAGAGCGAGTGTGTGCAGCTGCTGCAACTCTCATGTGCAGAGCAAGTGTGTGCAGCTGCTGCAACTCTCGTGTGCAGAGCAAGTGTGTGCAGCTGCAGCAACTCTCGTGTGCAGAGCGAGTGTGCACAGCTGCTGCAGCCAGATGCTCTGAAGGAGAGCATGCAAGTAAGGAAACTGAGGATGCAGCTAGGGTGGGAGGGGACCATGACAATGGGAGTATGTGCCTTTGTAGCCAACATCATAAAAGAAACCTGGGCTTAACAAAGTGTCTGAACCAAAAATGTGACAGTCACGACTACATTGTTTATAACAGAGGAATGTCATAATACTGTAGGATTCTCGTTTATATATAGATAGACCTAGATATTATGTTGTAAAATGTGAGTGCTTAAATAGACTTTAGGCATATAAATAATGTTGCCATGAACTGATGACAGTAGTAAGAATGGCTCTTTAAAAATTAAGTATAATTTATAACATAAATGATGGAATTATTTTCATTTAAAAGTTGCATAGTGAGACATGGCCTCACGATGTAGACCTGACTGGCCTGCAACTCTCTATGTAGATCAGGTTCTCCTTGAATGTGTGGCAATCCTCCTGCCTCAGCTTACACATTATTAATAGAATCACTCCAAAATAATTGTCTTTGGCCATCATCTAAGTAATTTGAAATTTAAGGTAAGCCTTACTTAGAAAGGCTAAACCATGTGTTTTGCTTGTGACCTCTGGATCACATTCTCCCCTGTGTCAGTGAAGTTAGATGGCAGTTTTCATGGCTATATACTGAATATACTATATTCACAGTTATATAGAATACAACTATTATACAATTCTGATTTAAAAAGAACGCAGTGGGCAACTCGTAGGGCATTTTTCTAACCCATTCTTTGTTGAAGTGGCTACTCACCTTGGAGGAAGCTGTAGGCAGGAAGAGAACACCGACGAATCCCACATCTATATTCACAACTGAAAAGGGAAGGAAAACAAGACAAGCATTTGTTACACTGCCCTTTTCAGGAAAGTTCCCCTTTGTGCTGCTTGAAGTGATTAGTCAAACATTCTTTTGCCTTCTGTACTGGTAGTTGTTCCAAGAACTGTTGAGTCAATATGGCTGCTCATTTGTCTTTGCTATTCAGGATATTTTCGTTTTAGTAGACTCAAGTTTCCATACTATTGCAGAAGCCAGGTGTGGTGACAAAGGCCTGTAATCCCTGCACTCTGAAGGGGAGGAAACAGGATCAGGTGTTGAAGGTTACTGAGGCCTACGTGAGCTCTTTGAGACCCTGTCTCCTAAAACAAAAACAAACAAAACAAAAAACAAACGGAAGGGAAGGAGGGAGGGAAAGAGGGAGAGAAGGGGTGTTGGGGGAAGAAAGGCAGGCAAATTTGGGTAGGGTGCTTGTTTGAGTCACGTGAGCCCACCATGTGCGTGTGGAACTCAGCTTGAATGGAGTCTGATTATGAGCACTCTGCACCCACCTTCTCTGCTTGTCTGGGATTTCTGGAAGATTCTCTTTCCACCCTGGTGTGTCTCAGCTTTCGAAGGATCAGTTGATGTGGAGCTGCACAGCCAATGTCTTGTCCTCAAGGTTATTCACTAATATTAAAATGATTGCCTTTCACGACCGTAAGTGAAGAAACAACCTGTTGCCTATTTAAGGGGACAGTAAGGCTTCTGATGCGAAAGGAGAACCGTGTGTGTACTAGAGCAACTCTTTTTCTGGCGTAAGCATTGTAGGACCAGCTGTGGTGATTCTTGTTTTATTCAGGGTGAGTTAACAGAGATGATATCTGCTCTTTAAAATGAGATTTTTCTTTCTCCACTTGAACTTTCATTTGCACCCTCCCCTGCAACCACCAATGAAGCTAGGGCCCTAATGCTCCCATCACCTCCAGCACCCCACCTCTGCACACGGGTGCATGGAGGACCAAGCCTTCAGTACTGAGTCCTCAGGATGCTTTCCAAATCCAGACCCCAACACCAAGCTAGAGATATACTTTGGTAGTGTAACAGACCTGAGTGGACTACTTTTGCTCAACGACCAAAGGCAAGAGAAACCCCTGAGGGGGACAAAATTTAGGGAAATACCACTCTGACTCAGTTGCTCAGCCGTGAGAGTACTCAGAGGAATGTTCTAGTAAATGTGCAGGTTTGTATAAGTAGGGCTAGTTATCTTTCTGAAATCAAATCAGCCGCTCATATTATTCGGGAGTAAAATGAGGCAGATCCGTGGCTGGAGAGATGACTCGACAGTTAAGAATGCTTGTTACTCTTGTAAAGGACTGAGTTTGATCCCCAGCACCCACATGGTGGCTCACAACCTCTGTGACTCCAGTTCCAGGGGATCCTACACCCTCTTCTTACCTCCGAGGACACTCGGTATTCATGGACATACGTATAAGCATGGACATACGTATAAGCAAAACATTTACACACATAAAATAGTCAATCTTTTACTTAAAATGCCACTGAAGTCCTTTTTTTAAAACAATAAAAAAGGCATGGCAAAGACTTTAACTGCAAAATTTCCAGTGGTTTTGTTTATTACTGCTCTGTCATTAGAAAGGGCAAAGAATTTTCCAAACTTGGTTGAACCAGACCTTCATGAATTTTGGCTCACCCCTAACCAGTACCTTTTCTCTTTAAGGTAATTTAATTATGGAGTAGCCAGGGAACTTAGGGGAGATTTTACAGTAATGACCTGTGATATATTTTCTTTTTGACATCAAACATAAGGAGTAAATCTTTCCTCTTGCTCCCCCGCTCTAACAACATCTCCACATCGGCTTTCATTCTTGCTCCTTCCGGTTTCTTCCCTGGGTCCCACGTAGCCCAGCTCTTTAGAGCTGTCATAAATGCCAAACTTACTCCTTTGTGGCATTTAAAATGATGGATATATAAGCTACCTTACTATTCCTGGTTAACTTGAAGCAATCAGGGACATTTCAAGATCTTTCTATTATATGCACTTCTGTTTGTGAGGATTTTCTCATACTGTGCTACGAATTGCGTGGAGACGGCGCTGGGGCTACTGGCTCTGTGACTTGACCTTCATTTCCTAGTTACAGTTCCTTCATTTTCCTTCCATTTTCCTTGGCTGAGAAAGTAATCCAGTATCCAGCGTTGACACGGGGCAGGGCTTCCTGCTAGAGGGACAAGCTACAATGAGAAGAGTGTCCCTGACTCTTGGTGCCTTGAAATGAGATTAGATAGCTGGGTGGTAGTGGCATACACCTTTAATCCCAGCATTTAGGAGGCAGAGACAGGCGGATCACTGTGAGTTCAAGACCAGCCTGGTCTACAGAGAGAGTTGCAGGACAGTCAGGGCTACACAGTGAAACCCTGTCTCAAAAGCCAGACCAAACAAACAAATAAAAAAAAGAAAGAGATCAGAGGTTGAGCTGAATTAAATGGTCAAGTCGAGCATTCTAGAACATTCTGGGATGCGCTTTCCTAAATCAGTTAGCAAGTTTGTCCTTTACACCCCTTACCCAGAAGATCATGAGAAGACACTTCTGATATGAAGGGGTATGAGGTGGAAGGTGAGGACTAAACATCCTCAGAGTCCCGAGGGAAAATTTCTTGTCATTGTGGATTCTGATAATGTATATTCTTTTCCACGAGAAAGATAGCTAGCTAAAGGTCTGGGAAGCTTCCTGTCGGTAAAGTGCTTGCCTCAGAAGTATGTAAGACCCTACCTTCAGTCTCCAGAGCCCACATAAGAATCCTGAACACAGTAGATGGGCGTGATCTCCGTGCTGGGGAAGCAGATGCAGGACAGAAGGGTCCCCAGGGCTCACCAGTTAGCCAGTCTGCCTAACTAGTGAGACTTTGGAAGAAGACCTGGAGTTGTCTTCTGGCATGCGCGTGCACACACGCACGCATGTGCACGCACACAGGTATAAAAAGAGAAAGCTAAAACTGGGACAGGCTCATGAAGCAAACGTTTTCTTTTTCAGCTTATACTGCCGGACTCCATGAAAGTACTGCCTGTGTACATGAACTGTTTGTTAAAAAACTGCGTGCTGCTCAGTAGACCAGAGCTCTCCACTGACGAGCGGGCATACCAACGGCAGCTGGTCATGACCATGGGCGTGGCTGACTCCCAGCTCTTCTTCTATCCACAGCTCCTGCCAATAGTAAGCGTGTGCTGACTGTGTGTTCCCTAGAGCCACTTGGGAGGGAAATTCAGTCAAAACGTGCAGTCTGGGCTCACAGCAGAAGCCCTTTGAGGAGGTTGCCTGGGCTCGGTGTGCTTGGGGAAGGATGTGAGGGAGTCCAGATTGCTCAGATCGCTTTCCTGTCTGTGACAATCTCAAACTGGTAATAATCAATTACGCAGGCACTCTTGGGAGTCTGTAAACAGAAACCTTCAGTCGGCCTGCACCTCCTACACACGTGCTGGAGGAATCTCGCGCAGGCATGAAGGATCTGTTTTCAGCTAGTGTGTGTCTGTTTAAGAGTCCCCACACTTATCCAGACTGGCATTTCTCAAGTGCAGTCAGGGACTTGAGATGGGCACACACTTGAAGACACCTGTGCCATGTAGTAGCCCAGCTGCCCTTGTCCTCGAGGGTTCACATGGCAATGCATTCCACCTCGTTGAGGTGTTGGTAACATCTTGAATGCCTGGCACTCTGCCTGGACTCTTTCTCTCAGATCGAGAGGGCTGGTAGGTTGTATGCCACGCCTCCTTTAGTCTTAGCGGTGACAAACAGCAGGTGCTTAGCAATGGTGCACTCAGTGACAAATTGTGTTAGATGCAAGTGTAAGAAATGATCATGTCAAATGATTGTTGTCACATAAACTTGGATAGTCAGCAATGGGTGGGCCAAAGAGACTAGAAGCGAGAGACTCTGGGAAGCTTCTCTTGCCTTCATTCCCACCCTTAGTGGTCCTTGTGTTCTGGGCTGTAGACGCCATTTATTCTCTAATGGCCGCACATCCCTGTCTCCAGGTATGTAGCCGGCACTGGAAGGCTTCTCCCACGGCCCTCCTGCTCCTACCTTCATGCTGTCCTGGCCATCCTCACTGTTTTCTCTACCGTACCTACTGTCAGCAAGCAGGCCAGCTCTCCCGGGGTAGCCACAGTGTGACCACTTTTTGTTCATTATCTGCCGCCATCAAACATGATCATCACCGTCCTTCCTTGTTCCCACCATTGCCTCTCCTTCAGTCTGCTTGCAGCTCCGAGGTCAGGGCAGAGTGAGGCATCACCCATCTCTTCTCTCGTCGGGCTAGTCCAGGACAGCTATGGCCCAGTGCTGGTCCTTCTCTGCGACTTCCTATAGGAGACTCTCATTTCATGCCAGCTGCGCATATCTCTTTGCTGATTCTCAAACACCCTAGCCAGTGTCTGGAATGCTCTTCCTTCGCTTCCCCCAGGCCCAGCTCCTCACTCTTCCTCACCTCCTCAGGTAGCTTTACTCAAGATTTACCTCGGCCAGAGAAGCCTTCCTAGCTACCCTGCCCCCACCACTGACCCCTATGCTACTGACTGTTTGCTTTTCACACAGCTTTTAACCCCATCTACAATTATGTATATTTTATTTATTTTATGTCATTTGTCTTCCTCCAAAGGCCATTAGCTGCACAAGGCAGAGGTTCTTGTCTCCAACAAGTAGGTTTCAATTAACTGTGTGCTGTAAGGGAGGGACGGGGAAGAGAAAGGAAATGAAGAGAGGGTGAGAGCCGAGTTCCCAAGTCTCCTGACTTTGCCCTAACAGCACACATGGGACATCAAGAGCACGGTGCTACCTGCCGCGGTCCGCTGCTCCGAGGCCCGACTCTCCGAAGACGGAATATTCCTGCTGGCTAATGGTCTGAACGTGTTCTTATGGCTTGGAGTGAGTAGCCCACCAGAGCTGATTCAAGGAATATTTAATGTGCCATCATTTGCACATATCAACACAGATTTGGTAGGTATTTTTCAGTTTTTGTGATAAAATACAAATGTAAATTTTTAAAATGTATGTGTAGCTTTTGCAAGCTAAAGGTGCAAAGAAGAAAACCAGTGTGTTTATATAGTTCTATATGTGAATCATACTCTGATAAATAAAAATTAGAAAATGTAAAATAATTTACTGAAGTGTTAAACTAGACATGGCTTCAGTATAAACTGATAACACAGAGGGCTGGAGAAATGGCTCAGTGGTTAAGGATGCTTGCTGTCCTTGCAGAGGACCTGAGTTCAGTTCCCAGCACTCACAACAGGTAGCTTATAGCTGCCCCTAACTCCAGCTCTAGGGGATCCGACACCCTCTTCTGGCCTCCATGGGTGCCTGCAAAAATGTGGCATATGCAGACAGACAGACAGACAGACGCACACTCACGCACACACATGCACACATCCACTGACAAAACTTCCAGACTCCTGATGTCTACCAGTGGCTGTTTGCTATATGGACTTTAAACCCACTGTTCTGTTCACATTCTGTGACACATGGGTGAGGTCCGTGCTGCAGCAGTATGCTCCTGATGAGCTAGTGAAGCCAGGGGCAGGTTCCTGCAGGTGATATGGCCAGAGGTAGAGCCTGCATCTAGTTTTCAACTCCATTCTTGCTGCCGAGCCTCTTGTTTGAGAAAATTCAGAATCCTTTAGAGGTATTTTGCTCCATACTAAGGTTAACGAGGCACAAAATAAAGTCACACAAAGCACATTGTGTCCCCAACCATACTCTAAACCCTAACCTTCCCCTCTTGGTAGTCATGACAGAAGAAATCATGTTGAAGAAATGAATACAAATATCTATCTATAATTAACGTTAGTGAGAGTTAACATTTGTTGCAGACTTCCTTGCAGGCCCAAAGTGCACAGGAAACAGGGGTCTCTCCACCTCTGGGCAGGAGCCCAGGGCTTGCGCTTTTATCATCCTACCTCCTCACTGTTTTTCAAAAAATGAAACAAAACTAAAACCCAAAGAGGGTTACTTTACTTTTAGACTCATTTTGCACTCTGAGATATATGTTATATACTTAATATTATTTCTTGAATAATATGATCCACCACAATGCCATAAAATACACAAGGGATGGAGGAGTGTGAGCATCAATGATGGATGCATTAGCTCTGCCCTCAGAACTCCTGTGAAATATATTGGCCATAATCTTTCCCCTAAGATGTGAAGCTTTACCGTCGCACATCCTCCCTGGTGGCTAACTCGTGTTGACTGGCTCTTGGTACCTTCTCACTGAGAAGGCAGAATTAGCAGCCTACATTCTCATACATGAAGAACTCCAAGTGCAGCTATGCTGCTTTGCAAACAAAACAGATGTCCTGGAAGTGTAAGAGGTAGCATTTCCTTGGGGATTCAGCACTTGCTGGTTACTTTAATGTTGGAGTGTGGTAGCATTTCCCCCCAAAGGGAAAGGGATACGGGCATCCTCTTCTTTCCCACCATAGTCTTGAAAAGGTTTAATCACCTTCCTGAGAGATGGTCCAAAGCTACCTCTGCATGAAACACTCCTGTTACTGCATTGCAGCGAAGACCTGTATTTCTGAGATAATTGGTTCATTGGTGGAAATGTACGCTAATAAAAATGAGTAGTTTGTAGTTCAGTTTTCCCCATTTTCAGGTAAACGAACTGAGCCACTAAATGGTTTCTGTAGCACTAGCAGGATGTTTTTAGCAGGGTGGCGATCTCATAGGTCTCTGTAGCATTAGAGGGATAGCTTTAGCAGACTGGTGATCTCATAGGTCTCTATAGAATCAGAGAGATAGCTTTAGCAGGCTTGTGATCTCGTAGGTGTCTATGGAATCAGAGGGATGGCTTTAGCAGGCTTGTGATCTCGTAGGTGTCTGTAGCATTAGAGGGATGGCTTTAGCAGGCTGGTGGTCTCTATTGCTGTTGCTATTCTAAGTGTCTCAAGTCATACTGAAATTGTGCCCTTACCCGTAGACATCGCTGCCTGAGGTGGGAAGTCCGCACTCCCAACAACTCAGAATGATAATAAATAATATCCAGCACAAGAAGCCATACTCAATGAAGGTAAAAGGAGATCTCTGCCTTTAAGTGTTTATTTCATCAAAAATCCTTTCAATGCATATTCTACAGTTATATCTCATGACCTTTGATAGGAAATTTCCACCCTTGAATATGTCTATATACTTAATAGGCACAAGCACAAAAATACACAGCTTTGACCATGGGTTATCTTACTAGATAGCGGCTTAGTGATGGTCTTCCTGGTGGTGTACAAACAACTGCTGTCACTCACGGCCTTTGAAAGTATCTTTCCTTTTGGTGCCTGATGTTACATACTCATAGAAATACCATTCAGAACATTTGTAAGGTACACTTTCCTGTATCTGAAAAGTTACAGTTACTCTCGACCATTTTATTATTTCCTCTTTGAATAAAATCATGTCTTCAACCCAAGAAGGTTGGACTTTCTTGCCAAGTTCAAGCTGCTTGTACCCATCTCCTTCTGTAAGCTACGTGCTGGAGTCTCCTGGATTTGGAGCTGTCCAGTGGGGAAACTCTGTGTAGTACTGGAGCTGGAGAGGGGGCACATACTGCTTGTCTAGAAGACCCAAATTTCGTTCCCAGCACCCATACTGGGTGACTCAGTGACTGCCTGTAACTCTGCCTCCAGGGGATCCGACACCCTCCCTTCTGGACTCTCTGGGAACCTGCACTGATCTGTACATTTACACACACACATGTGCACGTGTATACACACACACACACACACACACACACACACCCCTACCTTTCAAAAACCTATAGAATCAGGCATGCTGACATCATCATCCAGGCCTCACGCCCCTACCATGCTTGGTAGCATTGAATCAAAGGCAGTCGCTGGACCATGTGCAGAATGTGTATCTAAGCGGCTGTTGTTGGGTTTTCCTAGCTCATCATCGTGAAGCAGCGAGAGCAGCGGGAGATGGTTTTCCGGCAGTTCCTGGTGGAAGACAAAGGACTCTATGGAGGATCATCTTACGTGGACTTCCTCTGCTGTGTCCACAAGGAGATCTGTCAGCTGCTTAACTGAGTACCTCTCCCACCGAGCTTGCATTTCTGTGGAGACGGTCTCCGACTTGGTGCCTAATTTCCCCAATGATAGATAGTAGGCTAGTTTTAATTTCTTGATCATTTTCAGGAGAACTTGCCAAGACAGCACATAGACCTTCAGCTCTGGTGCTCGGGTAGTAAGCCCGTGGAGTGTGGTGGTACCATAAAGGGAACAGTCTATTTCTGGCTGTCAAGCTTCTCATTTCTAAAGCTGACAGTTTGCATTTCATAACTACATAGTTTACAGAACCATTCACTGTCTCAATTTCCTTTCTTTGTGCTAGATATATAAATTATTTTTCAAACTGTATAGATTCATGGTAAAAATGGTCTTGGTTCCTCTCTCTTTTGCCATGAGAGGAAAAGGATTTCATTTTTACCTTATACCTAATGTTTTTAAAACTCCATGACTACATTGAACAGATTTTTTTTTCAACTTAAGATCTGCACAGCAGACTTTAAAAAACCCTATAATCTGTCTGGTAGAACAATTTGTGTTCTCCTTTTTTCATAATTATATATTGTCTGTTTAAAATATTTTCCAGTTGTTTTGTCTATAAACGGTATCTATATTCTTAATGGTTCTTTGTACAATTTTGATGGTTTCTACCTGTATATAATGGATCTTAACCAATATCAATAAATTACTTCATATACTCTGGCTGTTTTTCATGTCTTTTGAAAATTTAAAAATAAAGAAGGGTAGCACTAAAAGTAAAAAAAAATCTTTTACTTTTTAAAAATGGCAGAAACTCGCAAACTAGGTTTACTGAGAATCAGTCTGGATAGCAAATTATATTTGTAAAGGTTCGATTGTATCCAGCTGCCAGAAATACTCCTTGAGAAAGGCATTTACAAGTTCTGAACTACGACACGCCTGGCAGAGCTCCTGCTGTTATGTCTCCTTCAGTGCACACAGTAATAAATAGTTCTCGTACACCTAGGAGGATGGCTTTGAATGGCACTGTTCTGTGTGCCTTCCTCAGCTCCATCGAAGACAGGATATGTGTTAATTGCTGCATCACAGAGGGGTACACACCTCCCCAGATCTCCACTGTCTTCCCACCATTTCCATGCTCGCTCGCTGCAGCGAACCTCGATGGCTTCTTTTACATATGAAGACAGCTTTGCAAGCAGCTCAGTTCTTCATCTGTGAACACATGGCCAGGAAGGGTCCTTTCTAGGTTGGTGGATGCCATGAACTGAGAACAACAGATACATCTGCTGACCTAGTAAAATGCCCCTATGCTAGCCGACTAGTGGGATGTTCATATTGACTTCGGTGAGTTACTAAGAACTGAAGATCCAAAACTTAAATAATAATAATAAAGATGTTTATGAAAAGCAGGTTAAGAAACTTAAAGGAGTTGGCATGAAGAAAGCAAATGTGGACTCTCTGCAGAGGCAGCAGAGCGACTGAGGGACCGACTGTGCTGCAGCCCAGCAGGGTGACTAAGCATAGGACCTGGAGCCAACAAGGACTTACTGCTCCCACCAATAGCTGTGACATCAGGGTAAATAAGAAACCTTTCAGTATCTCGGTTCCCTATTCATTTGCGAGCCCCTGTCATCCTCTCCTTCCCCTCTCAAGCATTCTACTGTCCCTTTAGTCACAATGCAGGCTACCCTTTCCATCTAGGCCATCATTAAATAAAGAGACATTTGATTAAACCACTATTCTTTATAAATTTAAGTAAAGAGCAAGCAAATTTGTCTCTAAGTCCTCTGAAAGATGGCAATTCAGTGAAAACTACTTGATTCCTCGTCCTCAGAGATAATACTCCCAGGACAGAAAAAAAGCATGGGTGGGCAGAAGAGATCTTAAAAGAGGTTACTAGAAATATCCTGGGGGACTGGAGAGATGGCTTAGGGGTTAGCAGCTCTGGCTGTTTGTGCACCCCCATGATGGTTACAGACATCCCTAACTCCAGTTCCAGGAGATCCTCCATGGGCACATGTATTTATGTAGACAAAAATCTAAAACTAGCACAGAAGTGTCTAGTTAAATAAATGAAGATATCCCAAGAAGTACTCCAATTATTAAAAAGGGAATAAGGAAGTACTTATTGAGCAGTTACTATGTGTACACAACAGTTGAGAAAGCATACTATTGTGTTCCTAGAGCAAATGGCTAAGACTTACTACTCAGAACTTAGACACTTGGATAATACTTTTCATCTGAGTAGAGCCCAGCGAGGCAGTCACAACTGGCAACAGTCCTGACATTCAGGTGCTGTCCAGACCCATATCTTATCAGGATGGATTTGGAACTTAAGAGTCAAGGAGTAAGCTGGCTGACACAATCAAATTACTATCTACACTGTTCTGCACTGTGCTCTAGAAGTACGACTACATTTGTAGAGTACTGGGATCAATCACAGGCTTCATGAATGGCAGGTAGTTTTCTACCACTGAGATACATCCTCAGGCCTTACACTATTAAAGACAATTCAGAAACTGTCTTGAACTACATACTTATTGGATGATAACCATTTAAGCAGTTGCCGTAATCATTCAACAGCATAAACAACTGGATAAATTGAAAACAATTCTTCACCTTTTCACCTCTGTTTTCAAAAATGGTAAACTTACACAAAGGTAAATGATTCTCTCACTCTTTTATGCTCTTAAGAACTATAAATGCTTGTTCTTATGTAGGAATCTCTAACAGGTGCTTCATGAGCGAATCAGGCCTGTGCCTCCACACTGTCTCCCATTGGAGAGGTGAGTGGCTTTCAGTCATAATCACATCATGGTGGACAACTTCATTATCCACATCTCGTCTTGCGTGTTTACCCCCAAAGTTAGTCAATTCACATGCTTTCAAAGACAATGGTTGCCTTTTCAAAGTGAGTAACGCCCACCCCCCAAATCTGAGTAAATTTGGTCTCATGTTATTTATTAGCAAGAATTTAAAACAATGGCATTCTCACCTAACCAAATTAAACTTTATAAGAAAATACAAGCAAAAGGTGCAAACTAGCTTGTCAACTTCTAAAAATAGGAGCGATTTCACTTGCACATCAAACCCTTTCTTTCTGTGCGACAATCAGCTACCAGTGGCAATCGGTATCCACATTAACCAGGTCATGAGCCCAGTCCCCATCTTTTTATAGACTCAAGGCCACGGCATTTATTAGGAACTCTGTGCTGCTCCAATTTCTTAGGAGTGGAAGAAAACAATGAAGGGGAAAAGCGAGTTAAAACAAATCTTCTATGTGTTTACAATTTAGATGAGATGTGCCAAAAGATCAATTATTCTAACGCGCAACAAACTCCTAGCCTGCTTCAGTTCTGTGGTGTATACTTGGGTCTGTGTGCATTCTACACTGTTAAACTTTGAGGACTCGGAGCCCATCTCAAGTTGGGAGAGAATCTACCTCATCTCATTTCTGGTGTTGATAAGCAGTTGGAAGGAAGACCTGTAACACATACATATGGTGATCTTTGAACATTCTGCCTAGCTCTAGAGAAAATGCTTATTGGAAAAGTTGTCCAAATTATTTTGACTAAAGTTTTTTTTTTTTCTGTGCAACATCACTAACCATGTTCAGACCTGAGTAAATCACAGAGGGCTTAGCAGCAGCAGTATGTTCATCCAGAGAGTGAGTTTGCTGAAGAAATGTTATGGGAAGTCCTAGACTTTTAGCTCAAGACTGACTGTGTAGACTTGAGACTCAAGCTAAATTTCAGACTCTAATCAATAAATGTTAAGGACAGGAAGGTGATAAAAGTCCTACATGAACCCTGATATTAGAGCATTTTATGTATTTTGTTGTGTTGGTGGTGTGTCTGGTATACTTAAGATTGAGCCCAGGGCCTTAAACATTTCTCTACTCCTGGCCTCCAGCATACTTTAAAATAAAGCTGCTATAACTAATCAGAATGTAAACCAGCAATTAAGATGGGTATAAAGACATAGGCTAGGCTTGCTCCTAGTAACAGCTGTAACAATCTATTTTACCTCTGTCCACAGGTGACCTTAAGTGAGAATAATCTGTGGCCCTTACGTAGCTTTAGCAGAATGGGTCTATGTGGTTTAAGTTTCTCCATCCACATCAGGGCTCAAAAGGTAGCTCCCCAGTTCACCAAAGCCACAGGGTCCATACAGCCACTGCACTCTGAACGTGTGAGCTGCCTCCCTTGTACTTCCAGGCTGTCAGCTTTACCCTTCACAACCAAGCTGTTTTACTCCTGCCCACCATCTCCATAAGCTGCGCTAACAGAAGAGGACGCAGTTTTGCTCGGGTACAGCACTCTCCACTCCGTAACTGTAGGCAAGATCAACTACTTCCCTGTGGAGCATAAAGTCGAAGCACTTTGGGCCTCCTACTCCTCATCCTTTGAAATAAAAGCCTGGGAAGAATTGCTCCTGCTGTAAATGAACACTACCTTGGCCACACCACCTGGAGCTGAATGCTGTCATGCCAGGCACATGGCTCTAGAAACGTTAAATAGAAAAGCATAAAGCTATGTCACAACTTTTACTGTTGAGGAACAACTGAAGCAACTAAAACTCTGTCTTCATAGAACTCTGTGACAATATGAACTCACAAATATCCACTGCGCCTGGCGTTCAAGTACTAGGATTAAAGGTGTGCGCCACTACAGCTGGTACCACACTGTAAACGGATGAATTCTAATTGTTACCTTCTTTCCTCAACCAACTCTACTCTTACAGTTTGTCTACATAAGATGAGCTGTGGGTCTAAGTTCCAAACTACAAAAAAAAAAAAACAAAAAACAAAAAAAAAACCCAAACAAAAAACTACTCTCTCTTTGTGAGATCAACTATTAACACCGGATAGGAGCCTAGGCCAAGTGAACACCAGATTGCCGCTGTTTTTTATGCCCAGAACGCAGAACGTGAGATTCTGATGGAGCATCTATGGCAGGAAGGAATTCCTTAGTCAGATCGCCTAGGAACCCACCGTTAAACCCTACCTTCTCCTTACAGGTCAAATCAAGCATACAGTTTTGTTTTTGGATAATCTATAATTACTTTAACTAAAAACACCATTACAGCAAACATTCTAACCTCTTGTGATATCTAAAGGTTGTCTGTACTAGAAAGCACATGTTGAGGAAGCCAAATTCATCAGTCATTTAAAGTGTAAGTCCTTCAAACTGTGTCCATAGGGCTGTCATAGATGCCTAACGTTGACAAGTAGAACTCAAATGCAATCCAAAAGAGTTTCACTGTAGGTCAGGCTCTTTCCATTAGGTAACAACAATAACTGTATTTAAGGAAAAAAACCTCAAATTTCAAAGTTTTAAAGTTTTATTAGAAAAGTTACAGCAAAATAAAAAAAAAGGAGTTAGCAAGAACAATAATAGTATTACCTCATCTGGCATTTCCAAATCCATTCACACATGAGTTAAGGTGTGGAAAGGCAACAGTATGAAGCTTTCCACAGCCAGTGACAACCAGCCCCGTGGAGACAAACGCACCACTGTTTTAATAAAAGGCAACAGCAGTTCCATTTCCCAAGCTATATTCTTGAGGGTATTTTGTAATTGCTTTTACGTAAATTTTTTTTCATTAGAAACTTTAAAGATTTATGTCATTTCTTCATCACCGAGCATTTATTCTGTAAAATGTTTAAATCAACCCCCCAGAAAATCTGTTTTCACCTTTGTTAAGAAACATCAATCATCTTA